ACAGGAGGTTTCTATTGTCCTTCCAGTTCATGAGAGGGCTGTTTTATGGGGAGCAGTCGACAGCAGGTCGAGGTATATCTGCGTTTCTGAAGACAGTGACTCAGAACCAGAGGTAGACGAACCAGAATTGCTGGATAGTGGTGATGAATACTTGCCAACGGATGCACAGGATGCAGAGATGTCAACTGATGATGAGGAAGAAAGGGAAGAAAGGCCAGCCAAAAAGCAGAAAGTAATGAGGAAAAAGAAAACTTTTAGGATTGAGGAATACCCGGATGAGGAAGAGATCCATGAGAATATTGCTCTTCAAGTTTCATCTGAGTGGACCGTAGATGACATTGAAAATGATCCTTTGCCGGCATATGAACATGAAAAGCCTCTTGCAATTAGGTCTCCATATGAGTATTTTCGTATGTTCGTTACTCCAGCCATGATAGATAACATGTATATCAAACAAATTTGTATACAAGGCAACAAGACGTAAATAGTACTTTTTCAACAGATTCTGAAGAGATCATGAGGTTCATAGGTATTTTGTTGTTCATGGGTATTAATTCACTACCATCCCTCGAAGACTATTGGAAAGCTGGTTTTAGGAGCCAACAGGTTGCAGAGAGCATGGCGTCTAAGAGGTTTAGGTACCTTAGAAGTCATATTCATTTCAATGACAACACAAAAAAGGATAATGACAGATTCTACAAAGTAAGGCCTCTTTACACTGAACTAACTAATGCTTGCTTGAAAATTCCAGCTACACCCAAGCAATCTATTGATGAAGTCATGGTTGGTTTTCAAGGGTATAAACTGCTGGAAACCTAAGGCAGTACATCAAAACAAAACCAGATAAGTGGGGTTTCAAACTTTTTTGTCGTGCAAGTCAAGATGGACTCATACATGATATACTCATGTATCAAGGCACAACAACTTTTGACACACATCCCATACAGCTGCCACAGGAAGAATGTAAACTTCCAATAAGTACAAAGATTGTTCTGGTACTTGCACAAACTATGAACAAGACAAACACATCAGCAATCTATGCTGACAATTTCTTTTCAAGTATGCCTTTGGTCAAGCTACTAAAGAGATAAGTATAACTGCAGATACACTGGAACAGTACGTGACAATAGATGTGGTAAGCCACATCTGGTGCCTATCAAACAAATGGAAAAAAACAGTGTGGCCAGGGGCAATTTTTGCTTCAACACAATGATGGTGTCCTTGTTGTACGATGGAAGGACACCAAAGTTGTGACTTTAGTGCACAATGATATTGGGGTCGAGCCCATGAGTCTTGTTGAGAGATACAACAAGGGTACAAAGAGGAAAGAGAAAAATCGTGCCCTGCAGTCATCAAGAACTATAATGCAAACATGGGAGGTATTGACAAAAGCAACATGTTGGTGCATCTCTACAAAACACCAATGAAATCAAAAACGTTGGTACATGCGGCTATTTGCCTATATTATTGATCTTGCTGTTGTGAATGCATGGGTGCTTTATTGCCGTGATCTCGAGCAATAAAGCAAAAGTGTATGCAACTGAAGTATTTCAGGAATTCTATCTCTGAAATTGCAAGGTCTAAAGGACAAAACCTTAGAGGGAGCAGCCTAAGAACAACTCAAGACCTTCACCAACTAATTCACCATGTACTTCCAATGGTGTTGGCATAGTGAAACCTGGGAGGGGAACACGTGCAGAATTGCCTGATGACAGTGTTAGGAAAGACATGACTCTAATGCACTTTCCAATGGCAGGGGCAAAGGCCGTTTACTTGCAAGTATTGCAGCACCTCGAAAAAAAACGGTAACATCGTCATTCGTCTGTAGTGTATGCAAAGTAAATCTGTGCATAAAGACTGATAGAAATTGTTTACAGACTTCCATCTTGCCAATTAGCAATATAGAATCATTGGTCTTCCAAATGAATCTCAGGATATAGGGATTGAAACTTGCATCACTTTGCAATTTGGCATTGTTGATATTTGCTTCCTTTTTATATTTTTGTAAGTATTAAAAAATGTTTTGATAAAAGTTCCATTTATGTTTTTTATATTGTCTGTTTGTATATTAAATTTAAAAAATTGTTTTGGTGTGTTTTATTAACAATTGCAAGTTTGCAACATAGAATTTTTTAATCACTTTGTTGGGGGCGGCCTAATATTTTCGGTCTTCGGAGATTGGCAATTGCTCGAAAACTAACCATCAGAAATCAATTTATATGGGATCAGTGACCTTGTATTGAGTTACTCTATCCACCATAAAGAGTTCAGTTCGAATTTCAAATTTTCGGACCAATTGCGCGATGAAGGGGAAGTAGACTTCTTGTTAGAACATGGTTTAGTGGAGGAGTCATCTAGTCCATGGGCTTCACCGTGCATCCTAGTAAAAAAGGCTGATGGAGGGTTTCGTATGTGCACAGACTACCATAAAGTGAACGAGGTCACAATCACAGATGCTTACCCTCTTCCTCGTCTGGATGACGTAATTGACTTTGTGGGTAAGGCTACTTTTGTGTCCAAATTAGATCTCCTTAAAGGTTACTATCAGGTACCTTTGACAGATAAGGCGAAGGAAATCTCTGCCTTCGTAATTCCAGGAGGTCATTATCAGTATACAGTTACCCCCTTCGGAATGAAAAATTCCCCCTCTTCATTCCAGAAACTCGTCCATCAGGCTATTAAAGGACTTGAAGGCACGGCAGCATACCTAGATGATATTGTTGTGGTGTCTGATACTTGGGATCAACACCTACTTAGACTTAAAGCTCTGTTTGAGACTTTAAGAATTCCCAATTAACAGTTAATTTGTCTAAATCTTCCTTTGGCCAGGCCACTGTCACTTTTCTAGGCCATGAAGTAGGTAGTGGTAATGTTGCACCTAAACTTGCTAAAGTTCTTTCGATTAAAGAATATCCAGTTCCTCATGATAGGAAATCTCTTCAACGTTTCCTAGGCATGATAGGATTTTACAGAAGATTCTGTAAGAATTTCTCAGATATTGTAGCCCCTCTTACCTCTCTTACCAGTCATAAAGTTCCCTTTAATTGGACGTCAGATTGTAACACTGCTTTTAATAAAGCAAAAAAGATTATTGTGCTCTGCACCCATTCTCTTGTCTCCAGACTTCTCCAAACCTTTTTCATTACAGGTTGATGCTTGTGAGTCTGGGGTTGGGGCGGTACTATTACAAATCGGGAACAAGGAGCTGCAGCCAATCGCATACTTTTCAGCCAAGTTCCAGCCACATCAGAGAGCTTACTCTACCATTGAAAAAGAAGCCCTCGCGCTGGTAATGGCTTTGGAGCATTTCGATGTTTATGTGGGCCAGACATCGCAGGTGGTCACAGTCTACAGTGATCACAACCCGTTAGTCTATCTCCAAGCCATGAAGAATCACAACACAAGGCTTATGCGTTGGACACTCAGGCTGCAGCCCTATAACCTAAAAATTAATTATATTGCCGGCAAAGAAAATGTGTTGGCAGACTCTTTGTCAAGAGTCTAGTTTAATATTTTATTTAGGTTAGGATGTATTTGTGGTAACCCCCCTTTCAAGCTCTTTTTTTTATCCCCTGATGTGGGGGTTTTTTTTAGTGAGGGGATACGGGCTACCGTCCGCTTGTATCTTGGACCTATGTTGGCCTATCTGACTGCTGTCTCACTCTGAGTTTGGGTTTGGCTTTTGGCACGGGAAAGCTGAGTCTACTAAGAGTTGGTTGGTGGAAAGGGATGGGCGGGCCATTTTTTGTGCCTGGGGGGCCGGTTTACCCTGGGGGTGGCACCCTAATCGGCCTTTGGGGGGGGTGGGGGTGGAAGCAAAGAGTACGTAACCTTTATTCGGCGCATGGACACACCCCATTTACGGCTATCTCCCCAACCAGAAAAACCGGTTGAAAGAGTTGAGAGGGGGCCCCATCGTTCAAATTGACAGGTTCTAGCCCAAAAGAAGGTGGGTTGGCATCGCAGAGGTTTGGGATACCCCTTCCTGTTGCCGTCATTCCCATTTAGAGGGGTTGAAAAACGGTTGTATCTTGTGGCTTCTATTTTGCCTTGCTTACCCTGGAGTGCATTATTTATCCTGTCATTGTAATATTGCTGTTCTAAATTTGGTGAGGTAAAATAAGTCTAAATTTTTTACTGTGTTTTTTTTGCTCCCCTTACACTGGGGTAACAGGCATTTGAATCCCAGGTTGTAATTTAAAAGTCATGAAACCCCTGTCTCTTAACCAAATGTCACCAGTTCACCCCCCCTACGCCCCCTTATTCCTAACGTGCTGTACACCCATATGCTCCATACCACACACTTTTATTACTCCCTTTCCATCCTCACTGTCCAAACAAACAAAAATACCAAGAATGCCAGTTTAGGGAGAGATCCAGCCCAATCCAGCTCTAAACTACACCCAAACCCTAACATTACACCGACCGACAGATTACGATAACACAAGGGAAAAACTATTTACCCACAACCTCCCCTACAGTAGCCTATTTCTGCATACTGTACGATACACACTCGCTGCAACGCGCCCGCACCCTAACATTCACCCCCCACCTAACGAATGCACCAAGACACATACAAAAAATCTGCCACAAATACATCACTGCCCTCCGAATTGTCCTTGGAAACCTCCCAAATCAAAATGCAAAGCCATCAATAGTCGAAATGTTTGCTCCCCCCTCCTGCCACTATACCAGAACTCTCGAACTAACATGCCCTTACTAAAACCCCAAGTTTTCACAAAAATATTATGGCATGAAAAGCCGTATCCTATTCCTCACAATGCAAAACAAGTGCAAGCACCTACATAAACCCATTTATATATAGCACTGACCTTGTAGCTGAAATTCCCATAAAGAATCTATATACCACTTCACGAAACCCTTGGCTTTAATCTCATCTTCCGAAAGTCTTCCAAATGTCCTCCAATCATACATTGGGTATGTAGCATACTCCCTGTATCACTGTACCCTGGCCAACACTGTCCTCCAAGCCTACTTACGCCTTACTTTTCTTGCTTCCCTTACTGCCAACAAATTGCGCACCATATCTTCACACTCGTAGAGTGCTCCTCCGCATTTTTGCACATCCGTCATGACCTCTCCCACCTTCTAACCCCTCTCCCCTCCCACCCCAAGTTTCGCGCTTCACATACACTTGCTTCCTCGTGTGTACCAAAGGTATAAGACCCAGCCCACCCTGCCGCTCGCCCATCATCACCACCTCCTTCCGTAGACATGGCTTCCCATAACCCCACACTTACCTCAAAACCACCCTCTCCAGATTCCTGAATATCACACGACCTCAGGGGATATATCTTCTGCCACGCCCCACACTTTACTGTACTACAAGTGATTTACTACCACCACACTCACTGCTGCAAGTTACATCCCCAGCCTCACCGCACATCTACCCATCGCTTACTCACTACTTCCTTGGAATTTATTCTCTGTGCCTCCCCAGCGTCCCGCCATTACACAACCCCACATATCTTAATTCTATCTCCACTCACGTTCACCATATGTTCCCAACCCTCCCCACCAGTGCTACTTCTATAAATTGACTTATGCTCCATAACCCTCTTCCTGTGCCCCACCAAAAATTCTCTATTATACGTTCCCACATTCCCCAATCCTATTTCCCCTCATACCAAAACTGTTGGTGTCATCACACCATACCCTCAATACCCCCACATCTCCCTATTCAGGACCCACCTCTCCCTGTTCCCAAACTCCTTCCTCTTAAGGCCTATTAAAAGGGTCCTGCATGCATGCAAGAGGATTTGAGACAAGGGGCAACTGTCGGCAAACCCATCCCCATCTGCACCGGCAACCCTAACTTTCCATTAACCTGTTACCCTGACCGTTGCTGGCGTATACAAAGTAGTACGCCCAGCGCACAATCTCCATGACCAAAACCCTGTTTTTTTTAAATATCACCACAACATATGTCTATCTACACTGTCATAAGCCTTGCTCCCAATCAATCCCCAAGTCCCCCCCGTTGTCTACCCTCCACAAAATCCTTAATTTTCCATGCCCCTACGCATACTTTCGACCTGGAATCCCACACGACCTCTATGTAGGACTCAGGTCAAGCACCCTTTTTCATTCGGTTACCTAAAACCTTGCAAAAACTTTATAATCTGCACACATGAGGGAAGATCGCCCTAAAAGCTCCCAAGTCTTCCCCCCCCTCCCTTATAGACCAAAAACTACTACCCCAGCTGCGATTCCCCCAACACTCCCCTTTCCTTCATACAGTTAAAACAACCAGACCAGACACTTCCTTAATACAATCCCAATGTGGTAATATAGAAATCATAGGAAATTCCATCATGCCGGCGCTTTTCCCCTACGCAAGCCCACTTATAATACGACCTCCTCCTCCCTCCTCCGCACTGATCCTACCCTCGATTACCGCACTCTCCTCCTCTCCTAAATAACCTCGAATTCCTTCTCCCAGAATCTCTCCCTCCCTCTCTCCTCCCTCCCTCTGCTTAAAATTCTCCTAAACATTAATCAGCATAATTGCTCATTCCTTCGGATGGTACTAAGTACATGCCCACCTTTATCCCCCCAACCCTTTACACACCTCTAATCCCATAATCGTCGGTCATCTGTTGCCTATTCCTAAATCTCCTCAAAAAATCCAGACGAGTTTGTCACCCCATAGAAAACCCTCCTCTAAACCTTTCCCTCACCACGCTATCGCATCAAAACGAGAATTTTGTATTCCTCAATCTTCCCCTTAAAAACCTCTATTTCTCAGGTCTAGCCCCCCCTCCCCCTTCCATAACAATCATTTAGGCTGCCCCTCTAAATATTTCTGTACCAATACCTCCACCTCGCTCATCCCTTCCTCTATGCGTGGTAATACTCCTAATCTGCAATTCTAGCGGGCTTCTCCCACAATTCCAAGACAATCATCTCTTTCGTTGCGAGCCTCCCATAGTTGCTTCCACCATTCCCTAAAAAAACAACCCCTCCCCCTATCACTGAAGTTAGCCTCACATTCTATTTCCAATAACCCACATACCTACGGAACATCATCTTCCCATGCCATCTCTGCCAAAACGGCACGATGGCCGTAGAAAAACTAAATCTATCGTCGTTACACGTTTCTACTGTTACTATCTCGGGTTATATATATACGATCCAAACCTTGGCTAGCATAACCCCTCCGCGTGTGCTCTACTTTCCAACCCATCGCCTGACTTATGTCATAAACCTGATCCCTCAACAAATCCCCTCAATACTCCAAGTACACACCCTGCCCCTCTGGGCTCCACATTCCTTATCTTTTTACTGATTACAACAATTCAATCCCCACCTATTATAGAAACCATTGAGTAAACACGCATGTAGAAAAGCAAAACTCCCGAACAAAATGCACCTTTACCCGTATGTTACTAATCTGCGCATATATATCCCCAGAAAACCATACTCTCTAATCTCCACCCCATATCCCTTCCACCCCACCACCATCCCCTCCCCTCCCTCTTCCCACTTGAGCACGTGGAATGGGCTGGATTCCTCACTGCCACTGCCACCCACCCTTTAATTTCCCTGAAAATACCAACATACATCACTTAAACCGTTCAGCCTCCAACTCTCTGCAATACTTGAAATTGTGTTTTGAATAAAAAACACACATCAATGTTAAACGCCGCAAAAATCCTCCCAACCATACTGTTTACCGTCAGCTCTAATAAGCCATTTCACGTTAATCGTTGACACTTAAAGATTCAGAAAGGGTGGCTTTCCTCTATGTCTCTGGGTGTCCTGTCTGCCTTCACTTTTTGCTGCTTCTTGTCTTTTCCTGTGCACTCTTTCCACCTGTTCACCCCTCCCTCCCCTGCTGATACCCTGCCCTTCTTAATCACTCTGCCCACTTCTTATTCCCTGTACCGCTCAGATGGTATGTTATAAACATCTCATCTGAACGAGCCTCAGCCCTCTTTCTAGATGTGCCTCAATTTCCATATCAGTATTTCATTGCCATTGTGCACCTCAGGCTTCCACCTGTAGCAACTGCAACATGCCAGGCTCTGACCCCAGAGGCTCTGGAATCTGCCTAATCAAAGTCTTCTCAACATCAGGACATCTCCTGTTTGTAGTTGGGTTTTCTCCATCCGCAGCACGTCCCAGGAAAAGACTTAATCATCTCCTGTAGGGGCGTAGATATAACTCTTGTGGATCACCGGTCTTCCCACCCCCACAGGCTGGTGCTCAACTACGGGCCCGCTTGCGGGGGAGCATCCGAAGCACTGGTAGTGTCACACAATTTCTCTAACACGCCCTCCACTTCATCGCCCAATTACCTTTGCCTGCTGCCACTCAAAAGACTTCGGAAGAGGTTACGCCTGAGACTCTGTGTGCTACTTGCCGTTCCCAAGGGCCGCGGCCGCTGCTGACTTTACCCATTCCGGCCGCCAGTGTGGTCAAAAGCGCCGCACAGGCGACACGTCTTTCGTTTGTCCCGGTAGGTCAGTACAGCTGTGTCCTAAATTCCTCCAGGACAACATACGATGGAATAGGTCTTCTTAAAGATTTCTTGACGGTGTAAGATACCAGCCGGCAACCCTTCATGATTACCCTTGTCCATCGAACCAAAAGTTTATACCATGCACCTCACCATATCTTTGAAATGTCTCTCCGGGATATCCACATCGTCGGCATCGAAGGAACGTTGCTGGATCCTCACCCAGGTTGTGATATTTTGAGGGCATCTCGCAGGCGTACTCCAGCCAGGGACGATACGGTGATGTTCTCCTCTGGTACGAGTCACGTCCTTTCATATGCCTCCACTGTGCAGAACTTGTATGAAGAATTTCGTGTGATGATCCATTAAGTGCTACTCGTGCAATTCTTCAACTTCAATGCCAACGTGTCCCGACTAATCGTTGGTAATAAAACAGGTGGCATTCGTAGGGTAAATTGCCCTTTTTAACTAGGTCAACAACACACGGTGTTGCTCCTCCTGCGGTAGCTGGCAGCCATCTTGGTGAAAACAAGGAAGTTGGCGCACCAGAGAATGCTGAGCTGTTTGTGCAGTGCGTCCACTCAGCCGGGAAGCGAAGAGGACTGATTAACCATGAATTACAAACATTTCAAAACATTGCATATCGTGGAAGTTCACGCTCCAAAATGCAAGATAATAAACCACATGGCACATTAGCGGTACAATTCTAGGCTATGTATTATGTAAAGAACCCGAAGAACTAAAATAAGACTCTAGAACGTATCTCGAAAATTTTTTGTGTTGATACTCAACGTTTGCAATTAAGTACTTAAAAACGAGATCCTAAGGGCTCCCGGTATCCTGGTTTCAAGGAAATTTTAAACCCAGTGAACATAACCCTTCAGGCTTAGAAATGTTAACCCTGGAATACCACACTTATATCTCACTATGACGAACATTCTCGTGAAACATGGCGTACCATCCATACTAATTCTCACTACCTCTCCTCTTACCACACTACATCAGTTTCAGATAAACCAAAAACAACCCACCCCTTTACCATCCCCCCATAAGGAGACCACTCCTTTGTCCATCCTCAGGGACCCCGCCTAAGGGAACCCACAGTGAGATTCCTATAACCTTCCGGGAAACTTTTTTCCCAAGACGCCCCATAGACTAACTTATTCCTACACTTCGTCCTATAGAATCTTGCTGCCAACGCTTTTATCCTCATATCACCCCTTAATCCCCTCATTCCCCATGAAATGTCCAGATAATCCACTATGATATACATTATAGCCCTTCCAACATCCTAGGCACTCCCCTTACATCTAGTAGTAAAGCCCTTAAAAGCGGCAAACGACCCCCCCCAACAGTCTGATAACCCCACCCATTCATGATCTCACCCCCTCCAAGGAGGTACAAAAAAAGACCACATGAAACACCGTTTCAACATCACCACAAACCTGACAAAAAGCCTCTTCCACAAACCCCATACTACGTAACACCTCCTTGGAAGCCAGAATCCCCATGATAAACCTATATACTAATTCTCTTACTCTAGCCGTATCCGAAGCTTACTAAAATCTTTCCAAATAACCCCCCCAATCATATGTTGGATACACGGCTACCC